GCAAACTGGAGATGTTGCTGCCAGCCTGCTGCAGCCCAGTCTTTGGGGAAGGTTGCAGGAAAACCCGCTGATGGCTTGGTTTAACCTGGGGCAAGTCCCTTCATCCCTCTGTCAGAGGGCGAGTCCTGGTTGTACCTTTTTGGTGAAGCTGTTAGCTGGGGATTGAGTCGTTGGAGCATCTCTGGAGGAGGACACTTGATTGGGACCAACAACTGAAAATGCAGCGTTGGTTCTAGCATCTCACGGAGAGCTGGAATCGCTCTCGCCCCTGCACTGAGTGAGGATCACCTTGGAAGGCTACAGCAGGGAAAAGGCACGTGCTGCTCTTACTGCTGTGAGGTTTACTCCAATCTGCCTTTTGAAGGGGAGGTGACCCTTCTGGTCCCCCACCCAGCCATTAGGCAGAGTCATATTGAGAGTCTGCAATGGCAAAAATGTCTCCTTTTCTCTAAAACAAAAACCTGCACAAAGCTGAGGAGCTGCTGTGCTTACAGCAGTACATATCTTGTTCATCTGCACTCTTTAAAGTGATTTTTCCTGAGATATTAATCTGTTTAAAGAGAGAGCCCAAGAGTAGCATGAATTACACAGCTCCCTTGTCCTTCTACCTGTTCCAGTGTGACTTCCAGTCTGTGTATCTGCTTGCCTAGTGCTTCCTCCAACGTGTTTTCAACGTGCTGCTGCTCATGCAGATGCTGTTCAGGGCTTGGCAGTGTGGAGGGATGCCTTTCTCCAAACAGCAAACTCCCAAGAGCAAGCAGGACTGGCAGCCTGACACAAAGTGTCAAGTGCTGGAAGAAAATTGTCATTTCTCTTGGAGGGGTTTTACCTTGCCTGTTCACGTCCATGTAATCTTCTGGGTGAAAGGTTTAACTAGGCTGAGGCTGGCTGGGGGGTTTTGCGGGTCATACTGATGCAAAATGGGCCGTGCTCTGCATGAGTAATTTGGAAGAGGTCAGAGTTTCCTATAAGACATCCCGTGTATTCCCATGGGGAAAATGGCTTGCTTTCTTACGTTTTCCTTACACCAATTGGCAAAAGAAATAAAGGTTTGGAATTCCCTGGAGTCTTGCCCGGAAGCGTGAAACCCAGCTCTGCGGCAGGGAATTGGGTGTCTGCCGTCAGGCTTGGTGACAACAGATCACTTTGCAGAGCGCCCTGTGCCAGGTCAGCTCACTGCTCGAGAAGTGGGGTTGAGATGGCGTCAGCCTAAGTAGGAGCCTAAGCAGGGCTGGAAAAATAGCAGAGGAGTCGGCCTGAATGCAGAATTAGAGAGAACAGCCCAGACTTGTTTTCCAAGCCTCATTCATTTTGTTGCCTCATGCTGGATATTGGTCAAGAAGGAGATCAGTTGATATAAAATAAGCTTCAAACAAGACTGTTTTCTTTTCCTGCAGTGCCGCGTGCCCCGAGGGCCAGGCAGGGCTGCGGGGGCAGCTGCTGGCGGCGAGTCGGCTGGTTTGCTGGTGCTGCGTGTGCCGCAGGAGCATCGCGTGGGGTTCGCAGCAGCACATCCCTTCCGGGGGATCAAAGCGCGTTCTGGCAGAGGATAAATGTCAGTCTCAAAATGAGCTGTACTTGGCTGTGAGCAGAGGTGATGCTCAGGTGGGGGGAAACCCTGTCAACTACAGAAATTAAATTTTAAAAACTTCCCTTAACTTACTGGTGCCTGAGCTGCCTGTAGTGGCAAGACAGAGGTGCAGCACTGGTGCAGCGTGGCCACGGCATGCTCTGCCCATGGTGGTCTGTGCAGTGGTGGTATTTGGTAGCTGCTGTGGCCTGCTATCCCCAGGTCCATGGGACAGGGAGAAAGCCAAGGCTGAGCTTGAGCTGTGAGCTGGGCCTAGGAAAGCGAGCTGGGCTGCTCAGCTCCCTTGTCAGCTGTAAATGGGGAGAGTATGTACTGAGCTACAGCTCGGGAAACCGCTGTGCGTCACTGGGACTAGAACAGTAAGGTACCAGCGCAAGGTGGCCAGTACCGGTGTTAGCCCCTGTGTAGAGTCCCACGATTTGAAGGGCATCTGAGATTGATGCAGGTTTTCTAGCACCAGTGAGCCATGGCCAGCCTGCACAGCTACAGGAGACCTGCATCCTGCTGGGGATGCTGACCAGCTAAAAAAAATGGCTGAGGAAAAAAGGCATTGTTTGCAATCTTGAGAGGGTGTCTGTTTGAGCTCTCCTGATGCACCGAGTACATGGAGGAGGGAAGCTGAAATTTTCTCCAAAATGTTAGAGTTGTGTGTTTTTTTCACTTATCACTGAGCTTGTAGGTAGAGTTTTTGCTCAAAAACCTTTTGTAAATTTAGCCCCTAGTCCTGATTTGGGTGTATACAAGTTAAAACATCCATCACGTTCCTCCAGCCCGTGTCACCAGATACTGCTGACCCACCGACTGTAGCCTGGAATGAAAAGTGTGTACAGCTTTGCTTCAACTCAAGTGCACACCAGTTCCTCAGGTCAGTTCCATGGCAGTACTGCAGGGGTGTAATCCCCCGAAAGACCTTTACCCTTCACCTCCAGCACTCTGATGCCAAGGAGAGAAGTTCTGTACAGACACGGGCTGCCCTGAGGCCTGTAGCGAAACCAGCTGATTGACAGCTGCCTGAAAACATGGAGGGATCGACTGGGTGCTTCCCTTTGTGCTTTTGCATTTGGCATCAAGTGTGGTGGGCAGCAGGTACCTGGAGAGGCTTTCAGAACCGCTCCGTCATGGTGAGCTCCGTTAATTCCCCGCATGAGCTCAGGGCTGCCATCCCTGCCTGTCCCCTGGGAAGGGATACCTGCAACCGAGCACCTCGTGCTTCCTCCCTCCATCTCTCATGCCCTCTGTTCTGAGCATAGACCTCACTGTGAAGGACATGAAGGACTTCTACTTTGCCTTTTTGTTTTCCCTGGGCATCTTTGGAGCAAAGAGCAGTTGGCAGCAGAGTTCAGGAGGTTTTCTGGTGCTGTTTTCTGCTGGTTGCCTGCTTTGTTCATGGCCATGGCCATATTGTTCTGCCCAAGAACCAGTGTTGCTCTGGTTTGAAGTATGTGGTGTAGTTTCAGATAGGCATGGAGGGAATGGGTATTTAAGGCATTGCTGTGGTGACTGAGTCACAGATAATTGCAACAGGGAACACATGTTCCCTGTGCTGGGGGTGTAGGCTGGGCAGTTCCTGAGCATGAAACCTAACAAGGGCATTTCTGGGTTTATGTGTTTGACATTTCCATTAACAAGTTTTATTCTCTTTCCAGTCCAGCTGAACCTCTCTCACTTTTAAGGGCTGATAGTCAAGTGATTTGGTTCACCCAATGGCAGTACTTTTGGAAGCACCTGGCCTCTGTGCCCCAAAAATGGCATCGTTATTCCCCCTCCTTGGTGCTTGCTCACGACTGCTCCATCCATGCGCCTGGGCTGCTGGCACACAGGATGCTGAGGACTTAGCGCTTGCAGAGAGCTCTTGTGCCTAAGGAGAAATGGGGCAGGTCTTCATGGAGCAGAGTCTCTGGGCATTGTGCATCTGAAACAGGACAGTGGGCCTAATTAGCCCCTTTCCTAATAGCCCATCAGCCTGTGCCAGGGGATGATCCTGGTCCAGGAGGTCTCTGGATGCTCCCTCCTGGTTGCGGAGCAGGCTTGCTCTCACTGCTGTTTGCGATCCCTGGGGACAAGGGAGATTTATATCCGCCTGAAAATAAATACAGATCATTCACTTGTCTCTGGGGGAAGATAAAATGTAAACTGTCTGTTTTCTGAGATAAAGCACTGGAAATAGTTGGAATTTAAGATAATTATCTTTATTGCTTTTTATAGCACCCCATGAAAGCTGAAATCTAATTTGTTTATCGCTAACAGGGAGCTCCTGCTGATGGCTCAGAAAAATCCATTTGCTTTATTGACAAACTTGCTGTTTGGTTGTTGGGGCAGTATTTTCCTTGCAGGAAAAGGGAAATATGGGTTGTAACACAATGGTGGGTTTTTAATGGATTCAAAGTTTGATGTCAGTTGGCAAGAGGAAAAGGTGATCTAATCAGAGTGAATCCACTTTATTAAAGACAACTGTAGGTTAGTTTATGCTTTAGTGGCTGTGCAGTAATGGTGCACAGCACTTTGTTAAGCAGCACTTGAAGTTTATTAACTGGAACTTGTGGAGAAGCTGCTTTTCCTGGGCACCTGGTACCCCTTGGCTGTTCCCAAGCCCAGGCTTTGGGGAATGAGGTGGGAGGTGCGGTCTTGCCTCTTCCCTCCTGTGCCTGGGGCCACGGGGAGCAGCGTGTTCGGCTTGGTTTGAACCTGTTGCTTGCAAGTGGAGTTGCCCCTTTTTTAAACTTCTCGTCTGAATGTGAGACAGGTTCCCAGCTTTTAACAGGCTTCTTGTTTATCTAAAGATGTTGGGCACCCCTTGTGCAAGCGGGTTGCTTGCCAGCATAGCCCAGTGTGGTTCTGAGGGTCTTTTGCTGCTCTGGTACCATGGCTCTGTGAAAAGCAGTTGTCTGTGCTGCCCTCCCAGCTGCTGGTAAAGGGGGAATGCTCCCTGCCTTATCCATCCCTGTGTGATGTGCTCCCAAGAGCTGCTCAGGAGAAGAAACAGCACTCTCTGGACAGTCTTTCAGTGTTGTCCTTTGCTTCAGGTGGTGATATTTGAGAGGTGGTGGGTCTGCAGCTGCCTGACTTAGCAGAGTCGCTTCTAAGTTGTTCATCTTTGGCTCACGGGATAATGCTGCAGATCATTGAATCCCCATCAGCTTGGGTCCTAACAGCTTTTATCCAATGATAGAGAAGTAAGAAGCAGTCTAGGGGTTAACTGTATTTTTAGGGAGGAGGGATAGAGCACCACAAGCAGAGGTCTGTTCCTGTCAAGTCTCTGTAGCTCTTCAAACACACTGTGCAGCAAGAGGGAGAAAACATCACCTTCTATAAACATGAAATGATGGATCTGGGTTGGCAGAGCAGATTTCTTGTCCATCTCTGAAAACCTGCTCGGTGTTTGCTCAGCTTCTTATTGGTTTCCTTTCAGGAATTGACTACAAGACCACTACTATCTTGCTGGATGGCAGAAGGGTCAAGCTGGAACTCTGGTGAGTGTTTCCGAGCAGCTTGGGCTGTGAGTGCAGGACTGGTGACTGTGACTGTAGTGCTGCTGGTGGGATGCTGAACCATGCTGTGGAGAGCGCAGTGCCTCCCCAGGCGTGCGGTGAGGCTCGCTAGCTGTTCATACTAGCGAGTTACTCTAGCCAGACCTCTTTCTGTTGATCGAGTAGCTCAAACAGTGTGTTGTTCTTTGCTGGAGTAGTCTGACTTCAGTCCTTCTCCATCATACCTGACCATGTTCCCATACAGCTCTCAGTCACTGAGGGAGCAATACTAATTTTGAAGCAATTCAGGCTTTTCCTGAAATCCTAGGATGAGGAATACAGATGGAGAGAATAGGAAAGGAGGACAAAAAATGGCTGAAGCCCTTAATCCCTACAGAAGCCTGGATATTTCTGAGTGTCTTGAGTAGAAAATTCAAATGAGCAGCAGGTAGACCTCATGGTTAGTGTCAGTGTAAGGTAGATCCCTGGAGAGCAGGACTTGTGGGGTGACCTGGCAGAGGGAAAACGCTGCATCTGAGGGGTGACTGCTGCCATATCTGTCAGCACCAGAGGGACACCTGGAGTCCGTCTGGCCCAATTTTGCCTAAGGTTTAACCTGCTGAGCAGCTGCCACAGCAATCTTGTGGGTGAAAGAGGAAGGATAGGTAGCCTGTCCCTATTCTGGGTTTCACCCGGATCTAGTAAGGAATGACCTAAGGCCCTAAATCGTGCAGTTAAACAGCTTGACCAGCACTCGTATCAGGTAACAGGAACATTAGTCATCTGTGTGAATTGCTAAATAAGAGTGAATGCCACTTTCTCAGCAACTCTCTCAACTTGAATGGCCTCCTTTTTTCTTACAAAAGAACAGAAGCAGCTGATTTATCTCTCCCAGCTTGTGTGTTTATATCTGATGCTTATATTCTTTTGTCTCTCTTGTAAGATACCTGTTTTAACATTTCAGCCCCGAGTGTGTAGATACTTACTGCTTCCTTCTCGAAACCCCCTCCTTTTTATGCTGTAGTTCTTGAGCTGGAGAACCAGCACAGAACCTGAAAAGCTGTAGCATCAGTTTATGTTGACTCTCTAATCTTTTACCATTACTTTCCTCATGCAACTCAATATTTGTTTGTCAGGGGAAAAGGAGATTTAGGCACAGACTTAGATTGGGGTCCAGGACTGATAATGATCCTTGAAAGCTTTAGATGGGAAAGAATCACTGTCCTAAACCTGAGGTCACTGTGTTTTTCACAAAAAACAAACCTGGGGCTGAGGGATTTATCAGGCTTCTCAGCGGTCATTCATGTGCCCAGTGAATAGATGTGGCAAACACCATAACGCATTTCAGTATATACCAGTTAAATCAGCCTTCTGGGCTCTGCCTTACTGTCCTGGATGTTCCTGTGGGCACTGAGAGGTTCAGGTAATGTAGTCAAACTTATTTATACTGTGTTAGGAGTTGCAGTCAGGAGAGACAACAGTGACTGAATAACCCCCCACTGTCGCAGTGAGCTAGAAACGCTGTTCCCTAGTCCTGCTCCTGAGCTCTCTGTAGGGTGTGATTGATCAGGTCTGTCAGAGATCTGGGTATAAAGATACTTCTTTTAACATTTATTAAACGTATTTGGAAAAGTAAGTGAAACCAGGCAGTGCATGACAGTTTCTCCTGTCTGGAGTGGTTATGTTCCTGTTACGATAGGTCAGCTGTTCTCCATGGCTAGCAGAGGCTGCAGTCTCACTGTTGTTGAAGTCCTGTGGACTATGGGGAACTAGAGAGAAAATCCTCTGCCCAGGGGAATAAAACGGCTTACATTCTCGTACATCATAAGGTAGTGCTGATGCTGAGTGGTGTTGGTTTGTACCTTCTCTTTGGGAAGCACGATGACAGCCTGGACCTCTGGAGTATGTCTGACTAAGCAAAGGTGGTGATTCTTCCTAAAAATATCATGCAGAGCAGTGTAGGTACTATACATGTTCTAAAGATCTGATAAAGTCAACACTGTTGGGTTTTGGGGTTTTTGGGGGTGGGGGGGGTAAGTGCAATAGGGAATGTGCAGTATGGGATTCGATTCTCCAAATATCATAGCTGTAACTTCACTCTTCTTTGTTGCAGGGACACATCAGGGCAAGGAAGATTTTGCACCATTTTCAGATCGTACTCTAGAGGAGCCCAGGTAAGTGCTGCGCTCAGTGCTCTGACTGGGGCTGTCTTGCTTTTCCTTTAGGCTGTTAAAAGTCTTCCTTGCTGTAGTGAAGAGCTCTGAAGAGGAACCTGTCAAGCATCAAAAGGATGGGATCTGTGTAAATGCCACGAGGCACTACATGTTGTCCTCTGCCTGGTATTCATGGTGTTTAAATGTCCTAGACTGGTACAGAAAAGCTCTGTTTCAGACTAGATTCAGTATTCGTTTCTAGAGGAGAGCTGAGAAGTTGGGGTTATGGAGAACAAGGCAAGTCTAGCCCTACATCTGCCTTAGCTTTAATGTGGGAGCTCGTCCTTCCTGAGGTCTGTCAAATTTGTTTAAATACGACATTGGCTTTCCCAGTGGAGTTCCTCCAGCCTGCGTTGCCTTCAAGTCAGTTCCAAAAATAGGGTGGCTCCTACTTGCATGTTTGATGCGGGCTTGAAACTAGAGCAGCTCAGTTGGATCGTAAAGTACATTCCTTAAAACATGAGGGAGAGCGTTACATTTTGAGTTTCTCCTTTGGGCCCTGCTCCAGAATAGCATCTTGATTCTGAACAGCAGAAAAATCTCGTGCTCCTCTGAAAAACTGTTCGTGCTTTCTTACAGTTTTATTGTTGTACTTTTAGTAACGTGACAGGGTCCCTTCAGGATAAAGTCTCCCTGAGTTAAATGAACAACTGTATTACCCTGTTTGTTTCCAAATTGGAAAACTTTGAAGAAAATACCTCCTCTCTCAGACACTAAGAGTCGGAAGCTATATATCAACCTCCTGAGCATGCCAGTGTCCTGGCAGCTTCCCAGCCTTTCAGGCTCTTGGCTTTTTGTGCCTCGTAGCTGTAGACTTTTGCTTTGCTCACCCATGGCAAGCTCATTCCCTGCCTTCCCACAAATTCACTTGTGCTGTAGACATGAGAGCACTTTGCCTGGGATGTGCTGTTGGTATCTCCTCCAGTGGCTCATTGATTCTTGTTTGTGCACATCTCTGGTGGTGTGGATGCTCTGAGGCAGCCCCTTCGAAGGGGAGGCCAATTTCCTGGTGCTTGCAGAAGTGCGAGGCACGGAGTGTTGGAGTGTGCCTTGAGCAGTGGGAGCGTAAGGGATCTCCCGTTCGCATGCTTGGTCCAATGTATGAATGTATCTTTAAGCTTCCCTCTGCCCATACTACGTTTCAGAAGAATCTGCAGCTCTAATCCTACTATAACTTGTGGTCTTGAGACCATGTAATTTGCCTTACCAGTTATAAATGAATAGTACCAGTCAGCGTGGTTTTCTGATGAGCACACAACTTAGCTTTGGTCAGCCTTTTACTGAGACCTTGCTGTGTCAGATGCCCAAATCAAACTAGGAATAGAAGGCAGCAGGCTTCCCAAATAATGTGCCCAGAGACGCCATTTCAGATCTCTAACCCCTGTCTGCTGCATGACCTGCTGTTCCACACAGAACAGAAGACTTTCTCCCCTTTGTGTAGATGCTCTAAAGAAGACTTTCTCCCCTTTGTGTAGATTCTGAGTTCCTCAGAGCCAGTGCTGTGTCTCCATGGGGCAGCACCCAGCAGAGCCTGCACCCACGTGCCGGTACTCGAGTTCTGGCCTGCAGCCAACTAAGGCAGGAGAGGTGAAATAAGTAGCCATGGGAACGCTTGAATTGGAGAGACAGGTATGCATCTGTCTAGAAACTGCAGCAGGGCTGCAGCTTAACACCAGAGGCCATAAGGTGTTATATACCTGGCTGACCTTAAGTTTGAAGTTTGCTTTTGTCTTCCTTTTCTCAAAATAAAGTTCTTGACCTTCTTTGCTTTGTCAGCAACATCTTGCCCTTCTGCTGTATTTGTCTGTATTGCTTTAGGAACTCTCACCTGAAGGTCTGCAATGTTTGCCTCATCTGCTTATCCCTCCTAAGGGGTGAGTCTGAGGGACGGTCACAATAAACCTCATCAGCCAGGCAGAGGGACCTTAAACACGGCTGCTTGCTTGCTGAGTGCTGGGGTGTGGAGCTTACTTGTGCAGCAAGGTGGGCTCACGCCTTTTCCTCAAGGCCTGCATTCTGCTTGTGCAGCAAACGCCTTTTCCAGAGTACTGTTGTGATGCCTTAATCCTGACCTGCTAAAATAGTCAACCCTTACCCTTAAAACCAATGAAATAGCCCTGAGCGGCAAGCCTGCCCTGGAGATGGGGGGGTAGTTCCCAAGGGAAGTATCTCTGTTGCCCTGTGAAGCGTTCACAGTGAAAAGGGGGTGCCTTTCAAAGACTGAGTAGGATCCTTGCCGAGTCTGCTCTGGGTGGATCGGGGGAAAACCTGGATTGGTTTCAGCAGCCGGTGATTGGCTCCCATGTGGCGATACAGCAATATTCCTGCAATAGCAGGGATACAGGTGTTGTCTCTTAACTCACCACATCCTTCAATGGAAAGGTATCTTAGTTTACACTCTTAATGGTTAACCAGAGCAAGAAGCCTATTTGGAGTAACAAATGCCTGTGTGACTGCAAGAATGGACGTCAGCACCTCCATTTATTTTCAGTATGCAGAAGCTAACTTCTTCTGGGCCAGCATTAGCATAAAGACAGCTTAACCCAGCGCGATCTCAGGGGAAAAGAGTGAAAATGCTCCCAAGTTCTCTTAGTTCTTCAAGCTGTATTTAATGCTGCATGCTGTCTTGGCTTCAGCTGTCTGCTTTCCCCTCCGCTGCCTTGGTATCATCAGACTTCAAGACTTCTGTAGGGAGCCTGATGCAAATCCAGTCGGAGGCAAGAGAAACAGCTTTCTTTTAACCTAACAAGCCAAAAGCTGGGGAAGAATAAATACAGCAGAGAAGAGAGACGCCAGGGTGGGGAAAGCTCTGTTTAAAGTGCAGTGTGATATTTGTACAAGAACAGCTTGGTATAAACTGGCCACAAGCACCTTCAAGCTGAGAATTAGCAGAAGGTTCTCACTGAGTAGAGAACCGAGACCTGAACTGAGCTTCCTGTAAGGAGCGCAAGAGGAGCGAGTTTCTAAAAAGGGCTTTGGCAAGTTAGCTGTGAGAGCTGGAGGCCAGCTGGGGAGGCCCCAGCCTGGCAGCCTTGACAGGGTGACTGGAAACAGGGAGGCTCCATCTGAATAGCCGGTGCTTGAGAGAATACTTGGTATGAAAGGTGCCTTCAGCTGAGGGACGCGCACCTGACTTCCCCACACACACCTTCTTGTGTCCCACGCGTAGTGATAATAATTGTGTCTTCTGAAGTAAACCCCCGAGAGGCTGCGGAGTGAAGAAAGTGTCCAAACGGGGGGCAGACCTCCTCAGCCCCACAGCACAGCCGCACGCCTTGCTCAGTCTGGACTGCAGGCTAGTCCCTCCCCAGAGAAAGGCACCTCGATACCTTCTCCAGTTTAGACTCCACACCACTTGCCTGGGTACGTAGCCCTGTGGCTTTCATGTTCTGCAGGAACTTGAAAACATCTAAAGTAGAAAATGATGAGTTGGCTTCAAATGAGGACTAGTCCCTTCTTTCAGCCAAGGCAGACCAGCCATGTTTGCCTCGGGATTTGCCGCAAAGATCACAGATCTGTCTTGCTTTCCTACCCTGCCCTGCCTAGCTGCCCTGATCCTATCAGGGATGCAAGGAGCATTTTGGATCAAGGTGGAGGCGTGGGGCGTACTGGTGTGTCTGGGACCCCCCTCCTTTTCTTGCTTCCCTGAGGTTGAATTTCCCTTCTGTCAGAGACACTTTCATCATCCCCTCCCTCTGGGGGTCTGTTGGGCCACCGGGTCCTGACCACATCGCCTCAGGGTCTTGCTTTGGGGCAAAAGAGGAGCAGTCGTGTCTGGGATAGCACAGCACTGGCCTCTAGGCACTGGAGGGGCAGGGATGGTGTGCAGGCCATGTCGTGGGGACTGCGGGGCCAGGGAAGGGTAGAGATGGCAACCCAGTAGCATTGTGACCTGCAGGACAAACAGGGGAGCCTGGAGCTTGCTGCACTGCAGATTGTCGCGGTGTAGCCTATGGTGCAAGGTATTTAGTGATGCTTAAAGGTGCTTCAGAAATCTGCTGGCTTGCTCTTGGAATTGTGCTTTTTGGCTCTTTCTGCTTGGCTGTAAGATCGCAGTTACACTGACAGTGGAGCTGGCACACTGATCCCGGCTGCTCCGTGCAGCTGGGGCTCCGCTGGCTGCTGAGAGCCAATGCAAGCTATGCCAAGAGTCGTCATGGAGGGGAGAAAGAGGGTTGTGGTGGCGATTTCTGATCTAGCAAGGAAGAAGCAGTGCTAATATCATTCCTGATGTCCTCAATGCCACTGATTTTAACTGTTTCCAGAAATGTGGCTTGCTAACTCTTCCCAGACACTGGGATACAGAAGGTCCTTCATGAATCGTTTCAGACCATAAGCCATAATCAGTGTTGAGAAATGCAAAGCTGCAGCCTTGACAGTATTATGAATATCACTGAGTTCTGCTTAGAACTCAGTGATTCTGCTTAGAAGCAGGTGATTTGAGTAGCTGCTGTTGATCCTCTTTAGGGCTGCTTAGCATGCAGGAAGGTGGCGGCTTTTTTGGCAGCTCAGCAGACCCTGGGATAGGCTCTGCTCTACCTGACAGCTTTCTGCGTCGCTGCAAGTACCTTACCTGCCTCAGGCCATTTTGATGGGGTTCTCCAGCTGCTGCAGGAGTCCAACCTGCCTGCCAAAATGCTTATGAAAAACTCAATGATAAATAAACCCACCCAGTGTGTTATGCTGTTGGGAAATGGTTTGGCAGCAGGATGCATGGCCCATGAACCAAAGTCCAAGGTGCCAGCTGGACAGCCGTGACCAACCACAGCTCTGAAAAAGCAGGCAGGAGAGACAAAGTGTTCTGGTTATTGTCAGCACTGGATCTTTAGTTTATGGTTTGCTTCATAACTGTGGGCCAGAGAAATCCAGTCTGAGGGGATCTTCCAGGCTTCTTCAGCAACAGCTTTTTCCCATCGGTGGAGAATAGCCGTGAGTGATGCTTTCCTGGCCACCCATCTGCCTGCGCTGAGCTGAAGGCTCTGGCAGTCGTGCGAGCACTGGCTTCCCTCCGGCCGTGTTCTTGCATCCTGCGCGAGTGGTTGGAGGTCTAGCTTGTAAAGCATCTGGGAAGCCTTTTTGGAGAAGTCAGCTTTGCACTGATGGGTGAGCACGCTGCTTCTCTCACCTTTAAAAGCTCATAAGCCTGGTCTAAACCTGCAGCAAGCAGACGGCAATGATGCTGTTCTGGGGTTTTTTCCCCCTTAGTTATGTGGACAGATCTCTGTGTAAGCTCCTGATTTTGGCAGAGTAAGTGTCCGCATGTACTGATGGGTACAATAACAAATGATCTCTCTGTGTTCCTTGTTCGCTACGCGACGTACTCATGTGGAAACTGCTGTCGCGGGGGTGCTGAGGGTCGTGCCAATCCCAGTAACGTGGAAGAAAAGCAGAGTGGAAACAAAACTTTGAAAATCAATTGTGAAAAGCCCTGAGACTGGTCTGGGAATGAGTCCAGTCATCTCCCACCTTGCACAGAGAAGCCAGTAGGCAGGTTGAAGAGAAAAAGGCTGTGGGAGGGTTGGTGAGGGCTCTGGAATACCCTTGATCTGAGAACCTTCAGCTTTTCACTTTGTGCTGTGGGAACCTGGGCTACACAGTGCTTACAGAGGTGCATTGTGAAAGGAAAAATCAAGAGCTATGGAGATCTTGTGACGCTGACAGCCATCTAGGCACTTAGAGAAGAATTTAGGCTGCAAAATGGAAAACTGTTGGTTTGTCTAGTTGAGTAAATTAAAATTCTGCACACATTATTCCAAAGGAGACTTTTAAAAAAAGCTGATACAAATGACAGCTCTTAGTTGGAACTGTCGGCAGAGATGGAGCCAGCTCCCTGTCTGCGTGCATGTCTGCATACTGTTCTCTCTAGGGGAGTAAATGATAATGACAAAGTGTATTTGCGATGTGTGCTCTAGAAACGTGGTGTCTGGTGCATGCCAGCACTGCTTCGAAGAAGTATGTGGTTGTCTGGCAGCACCACGAGCTGGCCAGAGGTTTTTAAGACTGCTTCTTCCATCTTCTGCTCAGTAAAAGTAAAGCTGGTCTAATACCCGTGCTAGGGAGGATGCAGACAGAGGAAAGGCATTCGACACCTTGGCCATGGTGTCTTTGAGAAGCTTTCCTTGACAATCCCTAAACATGCACGCGTGGAGTTGTGTCATGACTTGGAGGGTAAGCTGGCAGACAGTGTGTCTCTTCTTGCGTCTAGAAATCGTGGTCTTGACCTTCCACCCTGCTCCTGAGAACTTGGGGCTGCGTTTTTGCTGATGTCTTATCCTTATTCCTGTTCAAAGAAGATCCAAGCTGCAGCTGCCAGCAAGCTTAAAAACTCTCTCCTCCTAGAGCATATTTCTGGCAGAAGCAGTCTTCACAACCTAGGTCTTGGGTCTGTTTCTCTTGGCAAAAAAAACTTGTCGATCCAGAAATAAGTAGACTTTATTCAACTCTCTGGCAGTTTGTCTTGGAAGGGTGTCATCAAACTTTTTGCTTTTTTATTTTCTGACTCCCTTTCATTCACACGTGCAGCCTTGGAGGCTGGAAGTCAAAACAAATGCAGCAAAAATTAGAAGAAAGCTGTCTTCTTTTTAATTATTATTTTCAAAATGCACATGAAGCGTGAGGGATCCTGGTAGAGGCATTTCTTGATTGGTTCTTGAGAAGCAGTAACTTTGGGTTTGTGGATTTCTTTCATTATGGAAAATTATTACTTCCTTCTTATTTTTTCCTATCTAAATCTAGGTGAAACAGATTCTACAAAACAAAACCAACCTCCAGTTCTTATTGCCTGTGAAGTTTTTTTGACTGTTCTAGAAATGACACTGAAAAAAATTAAGGGCTCTAGACCTGAGCTCCAGACTTCCTTGGAGGAAACTGAAGATGCCTCTGCTCCCCACACATGCTTCTGCAATTATGAAAACTCATCACCAGGTCCCTCAGAACAGCCTCAAACCCAAACTTTGAAGGTCTCGCTCTTCATACTGGGCTGCCAAATGTCAAAACCAACCCACCACACGTGACTTGCCTTTTTCTTACCCTTTCCACTTCTTTTTCTACATTTGAGCCTTTCTGCAGATGGTACAAATGCAGGGACGTAGGTGTTTGAGGGCCAGCAAGGACAGAAGCAGCAAGCTTTGCCTGGGGAGCGCCTGCTTGGGATCGAAATGCTCTGCAGTGAGGCTGGGGATAAAGCTCAGGAGTCAGAACTGACCTGACCATGATGATAAAATCGGGCAGGCTTTGGGAGAGCTGCTTATTCTGAGAGAAAGGCAAACAACATCAAGGCACACCCAGCATCCTGGGAGAAAGGCTGCTTTTCCCAGGGCGGGGGGAAACACTTCAAGTGCCAGCTTGAGACATGACTTTATTATGAGGATTCAAGTGCCTTTGTGGCTAGATGCCCTGGTGTTACATCATTCCCCAGTGCTCCAGATCTCATGCTGCTGATTGTTATTTCTCCTATACACTTGAGGTACATCACATCTTCATACATGGCTCCTGTACAGGCTTCCCCCTGCTCGTCATGGGCTTTGGCAGCAGCAAATACTGTAAAGCTGCTCCTTGGGAGGACTGGGGAGTTTGTGTTTCCCATCTGTGCAGTAGATTTTCCGTTTCAGTGAATAAAGGAGCAACTCCACTGGTCCGTGCAGTGGTTGGTGTCTCTGACCTGTACCAGGAGAGATGCTGGGCAGTTTGTCAGCTTTCCCCTTCACTGTGCTGCATCTAGGCATCTCCTAGGGAGCACTAGCCTGCCAGCTGAGACTTCCCTTTGCCAACCTGAGATCTCTTTTGCTTGTGCTTGGGACTCGCTGTTGGGGCGGCTGTTACTGGAGGAAACGCCTGATACAGAGGAGGCTGGTTCTGCTGAACTTGGTGCTAAATGATCTGTTATGCTGGGGTCTAGCTCAGGCTGGTTCGTTCTGCCCTTAGCTTAGCCCTGCTGCTGCTGGGGTTTACCTTCCACAGGGTGCTGCATGCCCGGCTGAGCTGGTTCCTCTCGCAGCCAGATCATCTGTTCCTCCATAGCTCCCATTTCAGGGCATCTTCAATTACAGTTCTGCCGAGTAACCTCAGAAATGCCTGTTGTGTCTTGAAATGTCCTTGAATTGCAAAGAAGAGAGTGACAGGAAGTCAGAAAAATAACAGGAGAGTTACAGAAAGGCTGCTGCTTAAGACAATTCTCTCAATGCTGCATGTGCCCAACTGGTATGGAAAGGCAGCTCCTGATGCATTGCCTTGTGTGCCTGCAGGGCCAAGCATAGCCTACTTTCCTTCTGCCTGTCCTCAGAAACACTTTGATTCAAGAAAAGCTCCCTTGTTAGGAGTTGCTGTGGACCCGAGTGGCGGCTAGCCGCGTGGTCATGAGCCCTGCTAGCCAGGCTCAGGGCGAGGGTGGAGACCCTTCGAGGTGCTGTGTCGTTGCTGCTGCCCGCACAAAATTCCCTGCCTTGAGTTGTTCCTGTCCTGGCTGCCAGCATCGCTGTGCTTCCAGAGGTGACTGGGGAGTGAGATATGGATGTGGGCCTGGGGATGCAGTGGGTACCTCTCTTTCTAGAAGGAAGGGCAGGGGGAAAGGACCTTCAGTGGTATCTGATCCCCTGGAATCTGCCTTCAGCAAGGCCCCACGTGGATCTCGGTGATGAGCTCTGTCCTCCAGAGATGCTGTACGATCCTCTGGCATTTGCCAGTTTGTTGTGAGCAACACTGTCTGCCTTCAGCAAGGCCCCACGTGGATCTCGGTGATGAGCTCTGTCCTCCAGAGATGCTGTACTGCTTATTGGCATCACTCAACTCCTTCCTTGCCAGCGAGGGGGTGACAGAATGAGACAGGTTCTGTAGAGGGAAAGCATGGGGGTGTTTCATAAACTTTGCCATGTCCTGCTACCATCCTGCCACTGAATGCAGCCGTTCAGTGTAAGGGGCAAAGAAAGAGACTGTTTTCTGCCCCTGTGAGTTTGTGTCGGATTTGTGACGGGAGGTTGGCATGTTTTGCACAGTCTTGCTCCTCTGGATGCATGTCACTGAGGCACTTCCTTTGAGGACAGTGCTGCTTTGGAAATGATTTGGGAGAATTTCAAGCCAAAACAGGAGTAAAACGTTTCCTAATAGTCAGGGACCTGTTGTCTCAACTTCAGCCCTGGTGAGCACACAAATCATGGCCGGAGCAACGTTCGGTCCCTTAGCCCTTTGTTTTCTGCAGATGGAGGGGGTCTTCCAGGTGTATCACCCTTTCCATTTGCCCACTACAAAACTGCCTGATTGCTCGTTCTTTTCCTCTAGGGAATTCTCTTGGTGTACGACATCACTAATCGCTGGTCCTTTGATGGGATAGACAGATGGATAAAGGAAATAGATGAGGTAAGCTGAGTGGAAGAACACGTGGAGTGATCTATAGCAAAAATCCATGGAGGTGCCACCTCTGATATGGGGACAAGAATGGCTCTGCTGTGGAGAAGAAACAATGGCAGTCCGCTAATAATCAAAGTATTTGTCCTCTGCTTGTGTATAAATCTGGAGTAGTAGGAAAGGGCTTGGGAATGGCCAGGAAGTATAGGAAGTTCCCTTTAAAATGGACTATGGAGAGGATGAATGAATTGTCCTCACCACGTAGCACTGCTTAGCAGTCCCTCTTGGTCATCGAGCAGTTTCTATTTCTTAGTCCTTCATTGCTATTGCAGCTAAGCAGGATAGTTGATGTAGGCTGGCCTTACTACGGACAAGCCATGATTTCTCCACTTCTTTCCTTCTTAAAGCATGCTCCAGGCGTCCCTCGGATCCTGGTGGGAAACAGGCTTCACCTCGCCTTCAAGCGGCAGGTGCCAACGGAGCAGGCCCGGGCGTACGCGGAGAAGAACTGCATGACGTTTTTTGAGGTCAGCCCCCTGTGCAACTTCAATGTCATAGAGTCCTTCACGGAGTTGTCCCGTATCGTCCTCATGCGCCATGGCATGGAGAAGATCTGGAGACCCAACAGAGGTGAGTAGTGAGGAGGATGCTGAGCGTGGGGAAGGCGTGAGACCTTGCTGGGCTGAAATGGAGCCGTGTTTATTAGTAACTCTGGGATCTGAAAGCACCTGACAGGGAGGAATGCCTTGGGTCAGACAAGCTGAAGCTGAGCCACAACAAGCTGCCTGTACTAGCACAGGAAGCCGGCAGGCAGCGGTGAGGGATGGGCAGCTCCAGAAGGCAGTTCAGCATGTCTAGGATCTGAATTGCTCCAGGGCATCCTACACCTCTCCACTTATTCTGGATGAGGCTATGGGCAATTAAGCTCTCAACTTGAAAATACTTCAATCAAATGGCTGTGTGGGATGAATCCAAGCACAAACACTTTGTCCTTACCCTTGCCTGAGCCTGTGTCTCCTGTTTTGGAGAGATGTGGAGGCAGAATGAGCCCAAGGAGCTGAAAGGGACTAAATCCCATCCCTGCTGTCAGCAAGGAGCAGTGGGCTGGGGTATTCCATATACCCAGACACACATGCTGCCGTGTGGCAGGCCATGAGCAGAGCCCATGTTACACCTCAGCCTGTTGCATTTGAAGCAAGATAGTCTTATGTCCCACGTTCCTGGCTGGGGGTAGTGGTATGCCCCACTGGCAGCCTGAGCAGCAGGAGATTTGCACTCTGGGGGTGACCTGCCTTCAGATGGATCCTCAGCTCCCACTCATGAGGGGGGAAAGTCCTGTTTGCCAGCCCCAGTCACCTAATTATCTGCCAGGGCCGCTGCCTGTGACCTGTTTGCCGTGCCGCTGTCTCCAGCTCGTGGAGGGATGGCGAGCAGGGGAGGAGGAACGGGGCTGCATTCGCAGACCTCTTCTGAACCTCTTCCTGAGGCAGGACTTGTAAACTGCGGGCTGCCTGCCTGAGCCTAGCAGCGTGGCGTTGGCGGCAGGCTGGAGGGGAAAGCATGCCCTCGTGTGGCTGCTTGCCGGGAAGTTCCCTCCGAGCAGACTTCCCAGAGCAGGCTCATGTACACTGTGCTAAGAGGAAGCCTGCAGGCGCAGAGCCGCCTTCTGGCTTGGTGGGATCTCTTGCTGCAGGCTCTCTGCAGAGAGCTGGCCCCGTGGCTACTGCTCCCCAAGCAGGCCCCAAGTGAGCCTGTCCTGCTCCTGGGCTTTCTGACCCTCTTGCTCCTTCCCTGGGCATCTCCTTCTGGCTGCCAAACCATGGCCTGAGAAGCCAAGCGTCTGGCAGGAACATCAGCAAGGCACTGCCCGTCCTGGGCACTGTGCAGAGGGAAGGGCTGGCAGTGTCCAAGCCCTGTGCTGAGCTCGCCTGGAGCTTCTCAAGCTTTTGTCCGAACTGTCGAGGCTCCTGTGCAGTCGTTATTAGCTGCTTTCCCCAAAGGAGCAGGAGCTGCACAGCATGAGGGGAAAGCAGCCCTTGGAATCTCCTGGCCTGTGACTGTCTGGTCTTTCCTCCCACCAGTGTTCAGCTTACAGGATCTGTGCTGCCGAGCCATTGTGTCCTGCACCCCCGTCCACCTCATCGACAAGCTGCCGTTGCCTGTCACCATCAAGAGCCACCTGAAATCCTTCTCAATGGCCAATGGGATGAACGCGGTGATGATGCACGGCCGGTCGTATTCCTTGGCCAGCAGTGGGGGTGGGAGCAGCAGCAAAGGCAACAGCCTGAAGAGATCCAAATCCATTCGTCCGCCCCAGAGCCCCCCACAGAACTGCTCACGCAACAACTGCAAGATCTCTTAGCAGGACAGACGCACCGTGAGCTGCCAACGTATCCTCACCCACCCGCCGATGTACAGCTGTTTGCACACCTGACCCTTTTTGATTGGATCCTTTCAGATGGGCCGCAGTCACTTTGTGCCGATGGCACGCGCGAGTGTTGGGAATGCGCCCACGTTTTGGCTTGGCACAGGAAGCGTGATGCCGGCTGGATCTTGCAGCGCTGGTAGGGAGAGGACTCTGCCAAGTGACCCTCCAGGAATGCTTTGGGCTTTGCCTCTCGGCCTGGGGTGGAAAATGCAGCAGCTGCCAGCTTGGGGAGGGGGGAAGGGGAAAAAAGCTCATCCAGTCTCAATGGAGAAATGGATTTAATGGAAGATTGAGAGGCTTAAGGGAGTAGGCAAGGGGAGACTGTGCTGCAACATTAACTCTTGGACTCCTGAACAGATTGCTGGTGCAACAGTGATCATTTGTGATCATTTGATTTAGGGAAATAAACAGGGGCGGGGGACTTGTGACAGTTTTCACCAGGATGTTAAGCTTCGTGTTGCCAAAAACAAAGAAAACAAGGCAGGAGTTGGCCAATTGGAAAGGGGAAGGAAGCAGTCTGCTTGCCTCCATTTATTTATGTAAATGTTATACATATATATATATCACTTGTTTTTTAAGGTTTTTTTTAAGGAGCAGTCAGGGAATATTTTATGCAGCCATGTAAATACACCCACTGAATGAACTTTCCCAGTGTCAGCAGAGAGGGAGAAGTGGAGGATTTTCTGATGGAAATACCCAAATGCTTTAAGAGACTCTCAGTTCCCACCTGGGCTCGTGCTGGGCTGTTCGGATACTACGTATGCAGGAGGAGGAATGAGACCCCGATCATTCCGTAAAGCTTGCGAGTGCTGAAGGCAGGGTGGGTTGTAAATGGGTTGAGGGGCAGAGCGGAGAGGCCGGGGTCTGGGAGTGTTTTCAGCAGGCAGGATGAAGAGGCAGCTCTGAGGCTGATGCCTTGCTCGCTTCGCACCTTCCGCTGGCAGCCGGCCGGTCAGGGACCGAGGAGCGGAGGGCGGAAGCATTGTGCCCAAAGCGGAGTAAGAGTGCCGCATCCATCCCTTGCTGCTCCAGAGCCTCGGCCATCGCTTCCAGAGCCCTCTGGTTGCTGCACAGCCCTCTGGACCCTGACGCGATGCCACCCTGTGTGACAGCCCCCCACATCCTGGCTGCTTCTTGCTTTGCTTTTCCAAAGACGTTTCTGCCTGAGCTACGGTTGTGGCAGCTCCTCCTGGATGAAAGTGGGGAAAGGACAGCAGCAGCTTTTCCCACTGGAGCGTGAAGGAGCGGGGAGTGGGAAAGTGGAAGAGGCTTGTGTGGGAAAAGAGCGATGCCCAGGTCCCGTTGTGACGAACGTGCTTGGTTCTCGTGGCAGCACCGAGAAGTCGGGAAGGCACACTGCCTGCTCGCTGGGACCGCTCCTGGATTGGAGGGGGCCACGTGCTCAGCGGCAAGAGCTCGAGATGCGCGTGTGCCGTGGGAGAAGATCTGGTGTCGAGCAAGGCCACGTGCTTCCCTGGCTGCGTCCCGTGGCTGACGCATGCTGGAAGTTCACCTGGGAACTTAGCAATAGCACCTCGCCCCTCTGGCAAAAGCTAAGCGGGGCTCGGCAGCGGGACTGAGTGGTGTCGACAGATCCTCGTAGGCAGCCAGGACGTGTTGACTTTGAGCGGTGTCGTAGAAAGTGACTTGTTTTTCCTCCTGCTGGGCCAGTCTCCTCACCTTCCCCCTGCTCTTAGCACCTCCTCAAGGCCTGGGCTCGCTCTTCGCACCCCCTCAGCGGCCTGTTGGCGTGTCGTGGGCAGGATGAAGCCGCAGCAGCTCCTGCGCAGCTGACGGACCCACTTTGTTCAGGCAGCGTGCAGGGATGTCCCTCCACAGCGAGCGTCTCCTTCCCCTCGCTCCCGCATCCACCTGGGAGGTGAAGGAGCCTTCCCCCTCCCCGTGCTGCAGGACAAAACACAATACCGAGGTTGCTCTCTTGGCTCGTCTCTTGCGTGCTTTATTGCCTGGCTCAAATGAGCGAGGAGAGAACTAAACCCCAGGCAGATGGAGGAGGGGGGAGAAGAATCCTTTGTAGTGGTGGTTTGGCTCGAGAGCAAAGCCACAGCCGAGCTTGGTGCGAAGGCTGGGGGATTTGGAGAACCTGTCTGGGATGGCCGGCACCTGCTTCCCATCACTTAACACGCAGCAGAAGACAATCGCTGGCTCAGCAGCCTGGGATATACAGCCAACAGGTGATGGGCACCCCAGACGGCAGCTTCTCCCAGAAAACATCATCCAGGCGCGGTGGGGCCCCTTGGCCAAGCTGCTCCCGGCCACCGGGGGGAAGAGGGACGAAGGTTTCCGTCCTGGAATCACAAAGCTGCTGCATGTCATGGAAAGCGTGATGTACCTCGGCTTGGCTTGGCTGGGCTGCCTCTGCCCCCTCCCCACGCCTCTGCCCCCTCCCCACGCCTCTGCCCTGCAGCTGGTTGCTCCTGTTTTGCCCTCTGCAGTCCCAGCAGATCCTGGCTGTTGCAGGGAATGAAAGATTTACCTGGAGCGATTGCTCAGCTAAAAACTTGTCTTTTTTTAATTTAAAAGGAAACGATTCTTGCAACTGATGTCAACACTAGTCTGTAGCTGCTCTCCAACACTTGCACCATTCCTGAGTTGTTTTTTTTGGACTATCCTTTTATTTTTGTATTCCTTTGTACAGTCAATGTTGTTCAACTGATTATACATGGGTTTGTTTTGTATAAATTAAAGTCTTTTTGTTTTGTTTTGAACTACTGTTGTGGTTTAGCTCTGGCTA